CACCTGGTAGATGTCAGAAAGTGAGCAGAAGACAGGAGGACGGAGAGAGCGAGGGAGAGGGGCCCTTAGTCGTCAGATTAAAAAAAAGTATGGAATGGACGGCGCTGAATGGATTTTCAACACTATATTATGAAGATATATCTCCTCTTTTCCATTCAGAGCCCACATGCACTGACACACCGCTCTCTCCGCACACTATCCTCCCCACAGCGTTATCTCTCTCAGCCTTTATTACTCTCGCACAAAGCGTTCAGCACCGAGCCTTGCAGATGCTCTCTTCCGCAGGCGGCCCGACCACATTCTCACATTTCAGCAAACTAGCCTTATTATCATATTTGCCATAATTGAATTAAGGAGCAGTTAAATTGGCCGTATTTGCACAATCAAATAAGCACAATCAAAACTAAACTGCTTTTGACGCCTCATAATTGAGTTTTTGCTCTGCCAACATGCTCCTTGATGTTATTAGCCTATTTGTGTGAGACATATTATTTTTGTCTGAGCGGACTAAATGCACAAAGGCATTTTTTTTCTGCGTGTCTCTTGTTGCAGTATCCACCTGCAGAGATCTGAGTCCTGCTTGATGTTTTATCATGGATAGACTGCCAGGAGCATGATGCAGAACAGAGCAGACTTTTTTTTTTTTGCCTATGAAACCTCTCCACTGGATAAAGTACAATCCGCTCGCAAATGAAAAGGATTTCTGTCAGCATTCAGCATACAAAGAGGTGAAGATCTGTACACAGAGGTCTTTTAACTGTCACCAAAACAGCCTCAGTAGATGAAATGCAACACAGTACATTCTGCAGCTTCTTTGCAGATACAAACAGGAGAAAAAAAACCATTTTAATTAAATCTACACTTAATCAACATCTTATTGTCGTACTCATTGAGCTGTTGCCCACATTCCTAATTTTCCTTGTGCATTTTCTCAATATTGCTGACTCAGTCTGGATAGATAACGACCAATAATGGGGCTTGAAGGACGGGTCCTTCTGTTTGTTCATTTAGATGTCCCCCGCCTCACTTTAATTTAGAACATTTTGATTTTGGATGGGAAAAAAATTGTGTATTGATTACAGTGCTTATTATGTCTCCATTAGGAAGTGATAGTGAGTGGGAGACTCCAGCAAAATGTCACCGTTCCCCATGTACCGCCGTTTAAAATCCTTCCGTTATACGCCTTGCTTTGCTCTCATGATTCCATTACAGAAGCTCTCCTTACGCTGTGGCATTGACTAATGGATAGCCTTTGCTTCTGTGTGAAGTGTAGGCTGCTGTATGATGTGCTTCAGCAGGTCTAGAAATGAGAAAGGTAAAGAACTCATAAAAGAGACCCTGTAAAATCAGACTCGATGAGCCCTGGCTACAGCCCCGCGGACTGGATCTGAGAGCATTTCAGTGCTGACTCTGTAGCACAAATTGGTCCTGTGTGTTTGTGTTATTTGATACCAGTTGAAAGCAGCTATCCAGCCGGCAGTTGTTTCATCTCTGCGCCAGCACACCTGCTGAAGGCTGTGAATTCTCAGCCCTTATGGTTCGGCCAAGCGGAGCTCAATCCGGAGCCCGTGGATACACTGAGAAAGCATGGAATCTATGAACAATATTTGCTCACAGCTGCTAAGAAATTGTAATCATGGGAAAGTATCTCAGTTGTGCTACAGCTGACTTGACCTCCCCCGCCCTTTCTAATAGGGGAAAAGAGCAAGCCTGGCAGCAGCAATTACTTCTTTATTTGTACAACATTGCCCCCTAAAGTCTTTTTCTGGTGTATCTCCGCAGGCCCCCTCGGGGGCCGTGTCAGGAGGACACTGCATCACAATATAGTGCAGTAATTTACCACCACTTGCTCCCAGCAAATTGACCGTGGATGAACCTCACCTGTATTACTCTGTCACATTCAATTTAGGGAAAACACTGGGGAAGCACGGCGGGTCAAATAGCATTTCAAAACTAGAGAGGGATATGCAGATCCAAGAGAAATTGAGCTACCTGAAACATGCCAGTGGGTATGTAAAATAGATACAGACGTGAGTAACAGCTGGCTGGGAAGGAGGATGCACTGTAACCCTAAATCATGTCCTTCCCTACCAACCACGGTGGTGCTTTAATGACTGGCAAATCTACGAATAAACAGATGGTTCTCTGTTTTGAAATTTTTAAGAATGAAATTAATCCTGTAGTAAATTTTTTTTTAACATTTTGAATATATTTTGGCTATAAGGCATTCGTTAATGAAGGTGCGTGAGTGTGACGTGTTTTGTGGGTCTGGGGCGTCCTCTAGTGGCAGGAAGTCGACGTTATATTTTGACGTTTCCGTCTCCGGCAGACATATTGCTTACCGGAGCAAATTCTGGAAAGCTAGAAGTGGGAAAGGATTTAAAATTGAATCACGTCTTCACAACTTAGCACAATAAACCCGCATAGGACACAATGGGTAAGCTGTTTGGCAAGTTCCTACTATAGGCATGTATTCAAAGTGGTTTTAAGATTCACTTTTGTCATCGGACTTGACGGTTATGAAATCTTCATTCTGTTACTGTTGTTTAGCCAGTACGCTAACTCGTTAGCTAGGTGGCTAGTCGGCGTTGCTACGTAGTAAGGAAAGATGAGTTGCTATTTTACGTTAAGTCATTTGCTATGTCTCCAAATTATAAGGTCTTTGGACAGTGTTTCCCTTTTTACAGTATATCATGTTAGACACATTAAGGCAATTTTTACCAGAGATAACAGCTAGTGCCGTTTTTAGCCAACTTGAGGAAACTTGGCTAACAGCTAACCACGTTAGCACCGCGTTGTACTATTTCAGAGAAGACGCACGTATAGCTTAGAGCTTAAGTTAGTATTAGTCATGGCAATATAACGGCGTTATCGAATAAAATACGACTTTAGAGTTGTCAATTTTCTCTATTTGTTTTGTTTTGGAACCGCCTGTAGCTTTACAGTTATCACATTACATAGGCGCTTTAAAGCGCTACTGCTGTTTATTTTATATTATGAACGTTTTCTATCTGTCTGGTAGCTACTGTTTGGCGGATATGGCGACTGTAACTTGGTGAGAGACTTCCAGCGTCGTAAAAAAAAGTTTTAAATCAAAGCCTCTGGGGTGACACATTAAATAGTGGTGTTCGAGAGGCAGTGATTTGACTTTTTCCAGTAGCTGGCGCCTTCATTAGCAAGTGAAGCTGCGTAATTTCACCCTTGCTCTTCAAACTCGGTGAATTATATAATAAGGTAAAAAATATTTATAATAATTTAATTCCTGTGTTCAGTCAGTCGGCAGTGAAGTGGAAATGTGAGCTAACTGATTCCATGCGGCAAGTAGATGACAGACTGCTATCATCACAGCCGACTGTGAGCTCATGAGACAGAGCGCTCATGTGACAACATGTTTTCCAGACTGTTCTTATACAGTCCTGTGATAAATACACTTTGCAGTGAATGTTACTGGAGTATGTCGTGTTCAAAAAGCTATATCTAAAAGGGGTAAGAAGTACAGTTACTGTGCCTGCGCATATAAACTGTATATTAAAAGGTGAATGTAAGTTCTAGGTATGAAAAGCAAAACTGGTGGGGAAGTTCCTTAAATCCTGTCCGCAAGGCATTCTTTGTCTGTGATCTCAGCAAACACCTTGCTGATGAGCTTATCATTTCATTGAGTTGTTTCAGTGCTTATTGAATCAAACATGTAAATTTTGGGTCCTATTAGAGTTAATCCTGAAAGTGAACGTATTGGAATGACAGGGTGAAGCTGGTGGCTACAGTCTGATTGGAGAAACATTCATCTGTTTAAGCTCTAATTCCCACAAAATGGCAGCTGTCAGGCAAAAGAGTTTCTATAGGGTGATCTTGTAGAACGGTCCAAGCAGCAGCTATTAAGCCTGTCACGTGGGGTGTAAGTAAGTAAAGTTTATTTATATAGCACCTTTCACAGACATGTCACAAAGTGCTTTACAAGGTAAAAACACAATAGTTAATAAATACCCTGGTCTAATTAAAAGCTCTTTGATATAAAAATGTCTTTAGCTGCTTTTTGAAGGTCTCCACCGAGTCCAAACACCGTAGAAATAGGGGAAGTGCATTCCACAGTCTGGGTGCAACAGCTTGGAAAGATCGGTCTCCTCGAGTTTTAAAACGAGTATGGGGGACCACTAAAAGGTTTTGGTTTGATGACCTGAGGTTATGAGTGGAGGCATGTGTATGAATCAAATTGGCAAGGTGGTGTGTGTGTGTGGTGGGGGGTCCATGTAATGCTCTAAAAGTTAAAACTAGACTTTTAAAATGGAACCTAAATCTGATTGGTAGCCAGTGCAGCGACTTTAACACAGGGGTCACATGAGCTCCCTTGTTCGAGCCGGTTAGTAGCCTTGCTGCAGAGTTTTGAACAACCTGTAGTAGGGCTGCCACTAGGGCTGAGCTATATCATACCGTTCATGGCAATACCAGTGTAATTTTGGGCAACGATAGGAAAATGAAATATCTCGATAGAATATGGGTAAAACGCGCATGCGCAGTGCCTTTGTTTACATACGCACATGGCGGCGATGCAGAATGAGAAGGGTGAAAGCGAATCGTTAAATGAAACGGATGAACCAGAATTGGTTTGTAAAAATGCTGCAACTTCAGTGGTGTGGAACTGGTTTGGCTTTCGTCCGTCAGATACACAACAAAGCACTATTTTTGGTAGAGCATGCTAGCGGGCCATCGTTATTACTAGGGCTGGGCGATATATCGAGTTTTTTAAAAATATCGATATATTTTCATACGAGATATAAGATGTGACAATATCGTTTATATCGATATAGCTTATGTTACGTTATAATTATACTTGTGGAGCCGCAGGTTTGCCTCTCTTTCGTCCACTTTTGTCTCTACGCAACGTTACTCGGCCTCGCCTCTCCTTCACTGAACACAACTCCCCCTCCCCCATAGCTTCACCTGCAGGCAATGACAAGATGAAAGCGGAAAATCTCCGTTAGCGAGTTACAGCGGATCGTCCCGTGCGTGGGGCTGGACGGCGTCAACGTGTTAGCGAGCTAACCACGCTAACGAGCTAACCGCGCTAACGACATGCAGCCCGGAGGAGCTGCACGGCCTAAAATCCTTTCATTTTCTCAAAACTCGACTGTGCGCCTTATGTATGAATTCTGGTTGTGCTTACTGACCGCGAACCGATTTTATGTGGTACACAGCGCTCAGCAATCTGTCAAAAAATGTTTTAATATGACTTTGCTAAGCTACGGAGCTGCACCGCTTGATGAATTGTCGGAGGATTACGGCTACCGGGGAGGAGCCTCGCGGAGTGATACGTACTGTGCTTCAACGTAATATTACCGTACTGTGTGTGTGTATAAGGACCACAAATGGCACCTGTTCAGAGACGTGGTGCAGCTGTGAAATCTGTCTCTTTGTTATTATGCTCAGCGTCTATTAGTTTATATTTTGACTGCACAATTGTGAGCTTTTTGTTATGCACAAAAACAACATTGTTTTCTTTTATTTATGGACCATGATTATTTAATAAATGCTGATAATTTATTTTTAAGTAATTTCTTCATGTACATCTACGCTGTATGTAAATAAAAGTGCCTGTGTGACATCTGGGACACAGTGTGACTAAGAACTCTCTTTTTGTTCTTAACTTATGGCTTAAAAAAAAAATATCGAGATATATATCTTATATCGCCATCCAGCTAAAAAATATCGAGATATGAATTTTGGGTCATATCGCCCAGCCCTAGTTATTACCGTGTTTTTTGGAAAATACGGCACACTTAATATCAATCCTTTGATTTTTCTGAAAATCGACAGTGCCCCTTATAATCCCATGTGCCTTATGAATGAATTCTGGTTGTGTTTACTGACCTCGAAACAATTTTATGTACACGGCGCTCGACAATCTGTCAAATGTTTTAGTACGACTTTGCTAAGCTACGAAGCCGCACCGCTTGATGGATTGTCGGAGCATTACAGCTGTCGTAGTCAGGAGCCTCGCGGAGTGATACGTACTGTGCTTCAACATAATATTACCGTATTGTGTGTGTATAACCTCTTTTTAAGTTTTGTAGATATTATACATGGTTATGCTGAGGATATGTCGGCCAGTTTCCACTGGAAATGCCTTTTGGTTAAATTGTCAGCAAGGAATTTGCACTGTTACGTTTTTAATATAACTTTAATGCACATAAAAAAAAACAGCTGCTTGTTTAAGTGAAAATACATTGATGGTTTTTTTTGCACTAATAAAGTTGTGGAGTTGTAAAGTATTTTGACTAGTGTCAATTATATCGTCAGTTATATTGTTATCGCAAATTTTCAAATGTATATCGTGATAAATATTTTTGGTCATATCACCCTGCTCTAGCTGCCACAAAGGATTATTTTGATAGTCGACTAGTCACCGATTATTTTTGCAATTAGTCGACTAATCAGATCATGCATTCATTGGACGTAAAACGTACAGCTTATTGCACCAGCACGCATCTGCTCTTATATATCTATCATTAGCTTACAGCTTTAAGTGTTTAAGGTATGTGCTAACTAAAAATAAAGACAAGATGATAGTTTATTAAATTTTAATGAAACTTGCTGATTGTTTCGGTGGAGTTTAATAAACTCAGACATTTGCTCCTTGCTATCTAAAATATAACAGGACACTGGAGTATATTCTCGAGCATCTCACACTTCTGATAATCAGTTGTCTGCTTGACGTTTGTTCAGCTGTGTAAAAACTATAACTTTAATCTCAGCCAAACCGATTTACTCAGGAACAAATAAAATACTGCAAAAAGCTGAACAATAACATTTTTAAGTTATCTAAGTGACTTATTTATCATATTTAACCTGAGTAGCAAAAGCCGGCGGTGGGTTTGAAAATGATTTCCCCACCGGCTCTAGTGAGCCTTGAACCCCGGTTAGCTATCGAGCTGGTGGGTAACAGATGTCTCCGAAAATGTCGGAGCGCTTTTGAAAATATGTGGTGTCTTGATAAACTGAGCAGATATTTGAAGTTTACACAGTTACATTCTCGCCTGAAAATATGTTAAACATTTATTTTGTGACCCAGAAAGAATAATAAGAGTAATATTAAAACTAACTAGCTGCCACCATTGTTGGAAACTGAGCAGGGACACGCTATGAATTCTGGGATAGGTTGGGCCACGAAGCATACACCCGATCCATCCTTCAAATCTGGGGAAATGAAGGGCGCATTTGTCGGAGTCTTCAAATTTGGACAGTCTTCGTTGTGTTGCTGTAACGTAATCGGCCTACAAATGCGGGCACAGGAGAATGCGGTTCCTAAATTTGGACACTGCTTCTTCTTCGGAGTTTAACGGCACCTGGCATCCTCGTACATGCAGTGCTGCCATCTTCTGTTTCAGTTCGTTATTACACTCTTAAATCCTACTACTTATTCCTGCGTCTTTTGGGATCTTACAAAGCTTCAAACGACGCGTCGACTATTAAATTAGTCGTTAACGATTTTTATAGTCGACATAATCGTGATTAGTCGACTAATCGTGGCAGCCCTAACCTGTAGACGAGCTAGCCCTTTCTTGTTTAGACAAGTAAACAGGCTGTTACAGTAGTCGAGTCTTGTAGAGACAAAAGCATGTATTATCATCTCGAGTTCACTTGTTGACACGATGGATCTAAGTTTTGAAATGTTCCTCAAGTGAAAAAAAGCAGGTTCTTACTATTTGATTTAAATGTCCCTCCAAAGAAAAAGCTTCATCAAAAATAACACCCAGGTTTCTAAGGTTATGTTTCTGTGAGGAACCTAAGTCACCCAGTCGCTGTTAAATATCAGATATTGCACTGCCTGGTGCAATAATCAAAGTTTCTGTTTTGGCTGGGTTTAGCTATAAGCAGTTATTGTTCAACCATTGTTTAATGTTGGTTAAACAGTCAATCAGATCGGAGAGCTTATGAGCTTTAGCAGGCTTAAATGAGCAATATTGTCAGCAAAAAGATGAGATACTTCAGGAAACTGCTGTGTTATCTGGCTAAAAGGAAGAATGTATATTAAAAACAGAATAGGTCTTAGTACAGAGCCCTGAGGAGCTCCACACAACAACTCTGTAGATTCCAACATGATCTGGTTTGCAAACACACTAGATATTGGAAATTTAAGAAGTTTTAGATCCTTCCATAGGTTCACCTACAGAAGCCTTACTCTGACTTTTACTTCTTCTAGATCAGGCGTCTGCAACCTTCAACATCAAAAGAGCCTTTTTAGCTCCTACCAAATAACAGGAGAAAAAAGAGCAGCACATGTGGGTGATGAGGGGGCAGACAGACAGGTGATGGTTGTAATTGGGAGATGATAAATTAATATATATAGTATATTTATTAATAGTGTTACGGTTACCCCTAATTTTAACCCCTGACTCACGAACCACAGGTGGGTTGCTGACCTCTGCTATAGCTGCGTCTCTCACACCAAAGGCTCACTTTGCGACATCTTCGTTCGAGCTGAACTAAACTGCGTTTGACTTCTGGCACTGTTGTGCCACAGTTAATCTAAACAAACACATTGCAGAAATGAGTGCATCCAGCTGCAACCTGTTCATGTGTGCCATCCATCCCTGTGGCTTTGCCATCTGCACACACGTGCTGAAGCATTTCAGGGGTTTGTGCTAATCCCCTGAAACCATAACATGACCTCAATTTCCGACATTTGTTCTGATATTTAACCTCAGAACCTCCCCACTGTTACAGTGGAGGGCTTTTGGCACACAAGGTTGGCATCGTTCTGTGGTGTCGACAGGTTTCGGTGCTGTCCCCCACCTCTCTTTCACTCCCCAATAGGCTCACATGTGACTCTGGGGTCTGCCTGGTGTCCCGTTCTGGTGGCATGACTGCACAAATGCTGAGAATGGGCAGTTTGGCCTGTGTGGGCACCAATTTACGCTAACTCTGCGATTTAACTGAATAAATAGGTTTGTTCTGGGCTGGCTGACTGGTACATGAATAGGTTGGCTGTGTGGGGGGTTTTGCGTCCGTGCATGTGTATTTTTAGGCTGTGTTGTCCGGTTTTCATGAGCTTGTTTATGCAAGGTCTTTTTATATTGAGGCATGTGTGACAGCTGTTTCATCATCATCATAGCTTATTATTAGTAGGAATGAACGGATCCATACCTTCCAGTTCAGATGCTATGTCAATACACTGCCTTCAGGTATCTGATGATACAAAGTACTGATCCAAGCCAGTAGAATTTATAAGCCATCTAAAGACCTGTGAAATCAGTCTGTGTAAGGCAACATCAGGTTTGGCCCAACTTTGTAAAATAAAATTAAATATTTTCAAAAATGCAATTTATGTCTATTGAAATGGTACTTATGAATAAAATAATACAATTTTAACATCTGACATTTAACATCTCATTTCACCTCAGTGTGAGATTCTTTACTGCATGCTGTGATCATGAATGGTCACCTGGCGCCTTCTTTTCCTGCTCTTAGCGTCATAGACGTTCTCACACACACACACACAGAGGTCTCATGTGGAGCAGAGCTGGTGTTAGACAGGTGAAATGAAATAATAGTAGTCGTGTTGCTTTTTAAGGGCAATAAAAGGTTCCCAACAAGTGATACACCAAATGTGACAAGAGTCAGTGAGAAGGGAAAGCGTTCAGCTTTCTTGTTTCTGGTTAAACTAAAACATGTTGTAGACATATAACTAAAAGTTGTTGGTTTCTCAGGGATGGAAAAAAAGAAAAAGTCTCTAAGTGCAAACGTTGGTTTTTGATTTAATCATGATGTGTCTTTGGCCAACCAGAGCCGTCAGCCAGTCCGGCCAAGGATAACTACAGGATGAACCGATACAAGAACAAAGCACTCAATGCAGATGAGATGAGGCGCAGGAGAGAGGAGGAGGGCATCCAGCTCAGGAAACAGAAACGAGAACAACAGGTATGAGACCAAATGTGACAAACTCCCAGTTCATCAGGTTGTTTGTCTCCTGGATGAGATTATGTCACTGTGTAGTCTGTGTTCAGCATGTGAGTGTTTAGGTCTCTTAACAGCTTTTTATAATCCCAGCTTTTCAAACGGAGGAATGTGGACATTCTCAATGAAGAAGAGGTCATGTTAGAGAGCCCACTGGTGGACTCTTACCTCAGCTCTCCAGTAACTGTGAGTAAATGATCATTATTTTTTAACAAGTCTTGCATAGACAAAAAGATGATCACAGACTAGATGCATTTTTACATCACGTTTGTGTAAAGCAGTTTTTAGCCTGTTGTCCAGCTTGTGGATTGTAAACAAGGGAATCTGTGGTGAGTGGGTGAAGTGTTTAAAGTGCTTGTACATGGCCTCTTGCAGGAAGGAGTTATTACCAGGGACATGGTAGAGATGCTTTTCTCAGAGGACCCAGAGCTTCAGCTTGCTACAACACAGAAGTTCAGAAAATTACTTTCCAAAGGTACCCAGTCATTGTAGTGTACTGAGAGTACTTCTACATAAGAGTGAAACCATTCGTGCTGTTCCCCATAGACCACAAAAAAGCCTACATATAGTTTTGCCTCTTTGTTATTCCAGAGCCTAACCCACCAATTGATGAAGTTATAAACACTCTTGGAGTAGTGGAGAGGTTTGTGGAGTTCCTAAAGAAGAGCAGCAACTGCACACTACAGGTCAGTTATTTATTTATTTGTTAAATATACAGTGTTAAACCTCCAGAACACACAGAGACTTCTGAATTGAGTGCAAAAAATGTGATTTTTACCATGTCTTTGGTAGCAACCATGCTACTTTGCTTTTTAGGATGCCTTTAACAGAAAATAGTGCTTGTTATGCTCGACCTTACTGCAGAGGTAGCCATTGCAGTGTTCTCCTAAATGATAGGTGTCACCACTCAGACAATATCGCCTCATCAGTGCTGATATAGGAGGAGAAGAAGTCAAAACTTCCTTAGTCTTATCTTTTCAAACTGTGGAAATATTTCCCTCTGTATAATCTGTGAGTCTCTATCATTGGAATGACTGTAAAAACAGACACAATTGTACGCTCATGTCTTCAACCCAGCTGCAGCAGTACAACGTACCCGGTTCAAAATTTTCAAACAATATCAAGAGCAGTTCATCAGTCCTACATGACACTGTGTTAGATTATGTTGATGCAGCCAGCCAGCTGTAAGAAAGTAGAAACTTGAAAAGTGTTTTGAATTGCCATCATTCTTGCACATAGTAAGTGCTGTTATCTACAGTTCATGAGTCTCACTATGCTTGTTTCTCTGCTTTGTCGTGTTGCTGCAGTTTGAAGCCGCCTGGGCGCTGACCAACATTGCGTCAGGAACATCCTTGCAGACTAAGACGGTGATTGAGGCTGGAGCAGTGCCCATCTTCATAGAACTGCTGAACTCTGATTTTGAGGATGTTCAAGAACAAGTAATGCACCGGTTCATAGATTGTTCACTGTAATAAATATCTTTCCATACTCTGCGATACCCAAGATTTTTATGTCTCACTGTTTCTTCAGGCTGTGTGGGCCCTCGGTAATATTGCAGGGGACAGTGCAGTGTGCAGGGACTATGTGCTGAACTGCAACATCCTTCCACCACTATTAATGTAAGTTCTTTTATTTCTGCTTTTGAGTCAAACCTTCCTACAGCTTTTCTCCCTGCGACAAATTTCTAATATGACTTCCTGTAATGGGCTTTTGATTTTCTTTGGTATTTCAGGCTTCTGACAAAGTCCACTAGACTGACTATGACTAGGAATGCAGTATGGGCTCTGTCTAATCTGTGCAGAGGAAAAAACCCACCACCTGCTTTTGACAAGGTACCACTCATCGAGTCAACACAAAGTTGCTTTAGGGTCAAAGTTCTAGGAACCCCTCTGAGTGCCTATAGGGGTTTTCCCAGGAGACTCTCGTGGCCTTAGGGTCATTCATGTCAATATAGTTTCAATTAGCTGCTTTTTCTATGCAGACAAAGCTGAACATTCAAGTACGGATAAAGGCTCTTTGTTATATCAGCCGATCACTCTGTACTATTACGAGTTTTCTGGCTAAACCATAAAAAAACGTATCTACAAGAAGTTAATTTAATACCAGTGAAATGTATATCAGATTAAATCGAATGTTGAGTGGGAAGAGAATTTTCCATTATGCATTGTCTTCCTATGGTCACTAAATGAAAGATGCATTTAACTTCTAATAAGTTCAAAAGTTTCAGAGATTTGGACTTCAGAAAAGCAACATTTCTGTTGAATATGACAGGAAGTTGCTGCTAATATTTACTTGTGATAAAAGTTAAACACATTCTAAAGTAAACAGAAGTCTGTAAAAGCCAGCCTGTGTGAGGAACACATGGCTGTGTCCCACAACCAGTCAGGTTGCCTGTATTTACCAATTCAGATCAACACTAGATGCTGGATTGTCCCAGGTCACAGCTGCAGCATGTGAATGGTTTTGCTCTTGAATCCTTCTACAATAACATTTCTCAGGTGGCACCATTGGTTTCTGCAGCTCTGTGTACTAGCTGACATTTTGTGGGAAAATTTTGACATATGGGGTGGCTGTAGCTCAGGTGGCAGAGCAGGTCAGCCACTAATCAGAAGGTCGGTGGTTCGATCCCAGGCTGCATCCTGGCTGCATGCCAAATATCCTTGGGCAAGATACTAACCCCATGTTTGCCTACTGGTGGTGGTCAGAGGGCCCGGTGGCGCCTTTGTCCGGCAGCCTCGCCTCTGTCAGTGCGCCCCAGGGCAGCTGCGGCTACAATGTAGCTTGCTATCGCCAGTGTGTGAATGTGTGTGTGTGTGTGTGTGTGTGTGAATGGGTGGATGACTGAATGTAGTGTGAAACGCTTTGGGGTCCTATGGACTAGAAAAGCGCTATACAAATGCAGGCCATGTTGTCTCTCAGTGATTTATGTTTGATGCTGAATTCACATTGTTTGTCATGATACATATGCATTATGTTTGTGTTGTCTAGGTGTCACCCTGCCTGCCAGTGTTGTCCAGGCTATTATTTAGCAGTGACCCAGACTTGCTGGCAGATGCCTGCTGGGCTCTGTCCTACCTCTCAGACGGCCCCAATGATAAGATCCAAGCCGTCATTGACTCTGGTGTCTGCAGGCGCCTTGTAGAACTACTCATGTAAGATCAGGCTTTACTGTGCGTCATTTCTGAACCTGTAAATTTGACCTGTACATTTATTAAAATATTTCCCAACCCCATCTTTCTGCAGGCACACTGACTATAAGGTGGCTTCACCCGCCTTGAGAGCTGTAGGAAACATTGTCACAGGAGATGATATCCAAACACAGGTGAGACTATAATAAACTGAAGTTGGTTTGATGACTCCAAAGCTTGTTGCATGTTGAAGAGGCGTTTGTGTCATCTTAATATTTCTCTCAGCTTACCAAATGTTTCAAATGCTATTTGCTTTGTTAATAATTGCTGCTACAGCTGCAAAGTGATGCAGTTCAAAGATCTGAGGTATGTTATAAAGAGCGTGTGAAGTTTTACCCTCTGCTTTGCTGTTTTTAGGTGGTGTTGAACTGCTCAGCCCTGCCCTGTCTGCTTCACCTCCTCAGCAGTGCTAAAGAGTCCATTCGCAAAGAGGCATGCTGGACCATCTCAAACATTACAGCAGGAAACAGAGCACAAATACAGGTATCGCACCTTGAGTTCATTTCTCAGTTTACCTGAGGAAAAGCTCTGTGGAAGCACTTTAGTGTTTGCCAAACTATCTGTGAAGTTTGTATTTTGAAACTTTTTTTTATTTTTTTTAGACACAAACTACAACTATTAATCCAAATTAAACAAATTAAACAACCTGCAAGAGTCAAAACTGAAACTGATTTTTAAAAAGCACTTGTTTACTGTCAGTAGTTCAGCTAATATTAGTCTACTTAAATCATATAGGTTGGTGTTGTTAGATTCAGACACTGTGATCATGACTGTCACATTATTCTGGTGCAAATTTAGTTCTCCTGCTGCTTGAATGTTGTAGGATTTAATTGTCAGCATTACACAGTGTTGATTAATTTTATGTAATCACAGCTGTAATACAGTGTCAACTGTGTTTTATATATTTAGTGGTTTCTTCTTTTGTGTGGGGCCAGAAAACAAGTGTCTTGTGTGTCACAGCTTTTCAGCTCCGTTTTAATCTGTGTGTTTGGCTGCACTGGGTGGCTGTTTAGTGGAGATGCTGTGCCTTATTTGTAATTCAAACGTATTTTAACTAAACTTGTACTGACTGCAACCTTAGCCAGTAACTGTATTCAAGGTGCAAAGATTGGATTATATTGAAGAATTATTTTTATGTTGGTCAGTTTCTGTATTTTGGTCATATTGTAACATTCATATTAAAGATTCCTAAAACTCTAACGCCCTGTCAAATAACATTCGTTTTTGTTAGTTTTATCTAGTGTATCAAGTTGATGATTTCAAATCAGTTTTGAATGTCTTTTGTATTTCTCCTGTACTGATCTCTCATCCTCCTCCACAGACGGTAATCGATGCAAACATCTTTCCAGTACTGATTGACATTCTGCAGAAAGCTGAATTCAGGACCAGGAAAGAGGCAGCCTGGGCCATCACCAATGCCACGTCTGGAGGAACACCAGAGCAGATCAGGTTAGCTTCGCAAGATTCATTTAGTTGACAGTCCCTCCATTGTCATTTAATCACATCAGCAGATCTGATGAGTAGCTTAAGTCAATTGCTGGTTTTAATGATAAGACTTTTAGAGATGATTTAAAGTAGGATTTCAGTAGTACTGTATTGATTCAAAAAGCATTCTGCAGCAAAATGTTTTCTCAAGGAACAAAAAAGGTTTCAGCTGGTTGATGAGTCTAATGGGGTTTTCTGTTTGAGGAGAAAATCAATTAACAGCTTGTTAGAAATGAAAATCCCCATGTAGAATTTGGGTGATTGGAAAAATAAGGAGGTATAATTGCATGAAAGTGAGGCGATAATGTGAAAGAGCTGTGAAGAATAACTCGGACTTAATTGTAAAGTAAATAAATGAATCACCTGCATTCATCTGCCTTATCCATGTCTGTTTGCATAAAGATATCTGGTGAACCTGGGCTGTATTAAGCCCCTGTGTGACCTGCTCACTGTGATGGACTCAAAGATTGTTCAGGTTGCTCTTAATGGACTAGAAAACATCTTGAGACTGGGCGAACAGGAAGCCAAACAGGAGAACAACGGAACCGGAGTTAATCCTTACTGCAGCCTCATCGAAGAAGCCTATGGTATGCTGCAGGAAATGCACACAAACATGCATGCTGAAAAAACATTTGATTTGGATTTGATGCAGTTTACATATAATACAGCATTATTGGAACACTTTCAGTGTCACAGACAGAGATGATCAGTGCTGATAGGCTCGTAGCTTTATCACTTTGGCAGACACTGAGGCCATATTTCCCTAAATGAACCTCATAGGCATAAAAGACATAAAGGCATAAAACTAATGATTGAGGCCATAAAGTTAACAGGAAAGTTTCTTGAGGTCACAAAGTACGAAAGCTACCAGTCTTTTTGACGCCATACTAGTTGCCCTCTGCTGGCCATTTGAAAGAATGCATGTTTAAGGCCTGGATTAGCTGCAGCCACGGACGCTACATCTGTCTTCTGTATATGATCTGTAGCTGGTAGTAGTACTCATTCTTTTGTTCTGGAGATCGCCTGTGAGCTGGAGGGCAACAAACCACACAACCTGAAATTGGTTCACATGCAAGACCGAATACTGATTACTGTGGTGAGCTGCAGTCCAGCCCAGAGTTTGATTTTTACCACAGGATTAGACTCTCTGGAGAGGCAGCTACTTAAATTCCTCCATTAGGGCAAATAAAATGTCAAGCTTCTGCTTTTTTCTAAGGCTGCCATACATACTACACCACCAGAGGCAGAACGTAGGACAGCTGAATTTTAAAAAAATCAGTTTGGGTTTTTTTGTTTGTTTGTTTGGTTTTTTTAGTTTAACAGCCATTCTGATATTCCATTCCTTGTTTCTCCAGGTCTTGACAAAATAGAGTTCCTCCAGAGTCACGACAACCAGGAGATCTACCAGAAGGCCTTTGACCTAATTGAGCACTACTTTGGTGTGGAGGACGAGGACAGCAGTCTTGCCCCTCAGGTGGACCAGGCCAACCAGCAGTTTCTCTTCCCTCAGCAGGAGGCCCCCATGGAAGGTTTTCAGCTATAAGTCAGCCACCCTTTCCTCTTCATACCTCCTCTCATAGATGGCTCCTTTTTACCACCGTGCCATCCTCCCTGAACCTCCACTAAATCACCATGAGGCCACGCCCCCTACCATTTGGAGGAATGCTAAAATTGTTCCGCTCTCCAGCCTGAAAATGCCTCGCCCCCTTTCATCGTTTCCAACCAGTGTACTGACCTCCTGCAGGGCAGACTCTCATGTTTCCTGGCTGAGGGGAGGGCGCCACACAAACTCCCATTACAGCTAGAAGAGGAAGTAATCACCAGTAATCATCAAAACGCACACCCAGACATCTTCCTGTCATTTGACAGCGCTTAGATTCTCTCATTGGCAGCAGTAGTGATTTGTTAGTGTCTTTAACACTTTCATTTCTTTTCCAAATGGAAATCTTTTGTTTTCAGGATTATCCATACAGAGCGTGCAAACTGGGGTACATGAGCAGAATCTGCCCAACTCTTTGTGTCACTATGACTCAGTGCAATTCAAAAAATACTTAACATGATCCCTTTTTTTTTCTTTTCCTCCTCACCCTTTATCTGCCCCCGCCCCTTTTTATTTTTAAATTATTTAATTTTTTTGTTTTATTTTTAGTGCTTGTGATATTTTCTTTTGCTTTGCCTGCTCCCAGTCAGTAGGCTTAGGCTTGCTCTCTGCATATCTACTCAAGGTGAGAAGAAAAAATAGTCTTTATGGGGTTTAGAGCCACAGATGTCAACCCCAAAGTTTGTCGCCCTGAGTTGGATGCCCAAGCTAGGAAGCATGATTTGTTTTGGGGTTTTTTTTTGTTTGTTTATTTTAAGCGGGTGGCAAGAAGGGTGAAACTTTATCAAACAGAAGGGCTGTGAATGTTTTTTTTGTTTTGTTTTTTTTTTTTCGAAAAGGTTATGTTAAAACGTCTAGAAAAAATATCCAGGTTTTGAGGGTTAAATAGTTAGAGACCCAATGTTCGTAGTGTGCCGTGTTATTAATAACATTTGAATTATGAAGTGATCTAACTATTAAAAAAGGCATAGTTGGGGATTTAGGAGGAGAAGAGCTGTTGGCAGCAAAAGCAGCAAGAATTAAGAGCCTGGGGACGATGTCTTGAAACCCATTGTTAACTGGTTGCTGCTGGCCTGCAAGCCCCCTCCACTTCCCCTGGTGTATGTGGTAGGGTTTTTGCATGGTGTTATATTACCCTGCCTACAGCCCTGAGCATCCCTGGCCAAACACCACGAGGAGTCGTTGCTTCTTTGTAAACAGCATTTGGAGTCGAAAGCAGGAACCGGGCCGGATTCGGTGATGTTAACAGTGATTGTGTATTGACGGTGGTGGTGTCGTGTATAGTGGTAGAGTTTATCTATAATATATGGCATTCTATATCACTATATATTTTTGAGGAATGGCAGTGACATAATGATTTTGCATGGGTTCATTGTAATATGTGTCGATGTAAATTGCCTGTTCTCTGCCTGGCAGGGACGGTCTGCACCGCTTCCTCGTGTGTCTAACGACAAATGGTGTTTAGCCGGGGATGGAGCTCAGAGAAATAACAAGCCTAACTGCAACAGAAATTCAAGTATAAGTGTATATTTGAATTTTGGTGTATTTTCATTATATAAATATATATATATAAATATATTTGCGCACACTTCATGCACACTTGCATACACCAGCAGACACACTGTACACACACCTCACACAGATGAGTGGCTAGTAGTAACTAAAAAGGTTTCCATAATCTTTGGATTTAAAAAGAACTAAATTTAAAAGGGTTTGTTTTGAAGTTTTGATTCTCCTCAATGTGAACATATTGGATGTTTTTTGTTTTTTGCTTATTATTTTATATTTAAAAAAATCCTGCTTTCTGGAGCAGATGAAGGATTATTTCCCAAAATCCTAAGGATTGCTTTGAAACTGTTTTAGTTGTTTCTAGCCTCGTGACTTTTGATGGTTAAAGTGAGTCCTGTAAACTCTGACCTGAGAGCAGTTTGACCTCTAACAGAAGCTGTTCTCAGGTCAGCGCTCAGGTTTTGTGGATGGAGCTGAACTGTGGTTGTGTGATGTTCGACTTACGGGGGCACTCTGTGAGGGAGGGATCGATTGACTCAGTGACTAGGTCCTAATCAGAGTCTGGGAGCCCTCTGTTCTGTGGATTACTGAAGCATCTCCAACTTAAGACCATGAACCTCTACATTAAGTCTTTATCACCGAGATTAGGAATGGATCAGTCTGCTTAATAGCAAATATTTTTTGACAAAGGCAGTTCTTTCTTATTTGGTAAAAAACACTAAATTCACAGGCATATTTTTCCATTTTGACATGCGTGTTAATCTTCTGTCTCAGTGGATGACACCGTCATGGGAGACTTCTATTGGTTCATAGCTTGGGAGGGGTGTTAGGCACTGTTGGGTGTTGTGAAGTGCAGTGAGAGTTAAAACCTGTCCTCCTATGAGACAGACATTTGCAGTCGGTCATTACTTTTAGGGGAATTAATCCTTGTTGGAAAATTTTTGTTGCAGGCTGACGAGCTGTAATAGACTCCACCTGCACTGTTATCTTTCTTGCTACTGTGCTACATTTTGTACTCCAGACCTTCACCCTCACGCACGACTACAGACTGAACTCTGGTAACAGAGAAAATCATGAGAGAGAGTTTTTCAAGGCAAAAAATGCCACACACACAAAAAATTCTTCACGACTTATCATGATTGGATTCTGAACAAATAAAATCTGTTGTTGTGATGCACAACCTTTCACCAGACCAGCACATTTTAACTGGGTGTTGCTGCAGAGTTAGATCGGCGATTTCACGTTCAGGATTGTTCCACTCTTACTTCCAGCGTAGATCAGCAGTAGAGCACGTGATGGTGACAAGATTTTTGTGTTTTCACGTTGGGTTTGCGATGTTGTCCACTGAACGCGTGTCCTCCCAGTAGATGTAAAAAGGCTGAATCAAGAGTTATATGAGGATCAAGAACTTGCCTCTACACTCCTCATGTGTAGGGGCAGCATTTATGACTGAAGTCTCTGATTTGATGGCCAAGTCTGTGCTTGGCCAACAGATGATAACAGAATTTGCAGTTTTTAAAAATATTCATAAATAAATCAGTGAATCAACCAGGGGGGGAATAAAGTGTAAAATAAAAATGCACTCCTATTCACAAAAGTGCCAATCCGACCAACAAAGACTTGAGGTTCTTATGTATCTGTCTTTGACTTAAAGATTTGTTTTTCTTTATATCTTTTATTTACTTGAATGTTGCACACGTTTTTTTGTGCAAAAACATTGCTGCTCTATTTTTCTTATCTTTAAAGTTACACGATTTGCCATGGTTTCTGTGGATAAGTGGCATTCTTTACTGTGGGCGCCTATAAAAAGGGAGGGGAAAAAAGGAATTTAATTAAAGAAAGCCAATTGTCCTGTGTCGGGCGGGGGGGCGTAAAGGACTCAACAAACGAATCAAACTGGTCTTTTCCAGCTGCTGTCCATTGGTGTGATGGTCCCCTCTGTAACAGTCTTCTAATAGTTTTCACTGTGCATAGATGAGCAGTGGGTTCATGTTCATGATGTCACGACCTGCAGCCAACCCTCTGCAAAAAAAACAACAACAAAAAAAAAACGTCTGCACTGATACAAACTTTGTAATGATGTGGCACATAATGCAAATAATGGAAACCTAAGCAGCTGTCAGGGCAGACAGATGCAGGTACTGACCTAACTGTCCACGTTAGTTTACCAAAGTTTTGTCCTCTTGAAGGCTGAAAAATTTCCTTGATGGTTAGTTTGTATGACTTTTATGTGATTGGCTTGTGTCGACCCGGTCAGAATGACTGACAGATCCCTTCAGGCTGTTTAAACCTTGCTTCTCTTCATTAGAAGCCGCACTAGATGGCACGCTCACTCCTGAGTTTTCTTTTCTCTTAAATTCAGGCGCTGTTTAAGGAGTTGGAAAAATGTGCAGATGAATCCAGAAGACTGCAATAAAACATTGTCCAAAAGAAAGAAAGAAAATCAGCCACACCCCGAGAGGCAAAGGCCCACCTACAGGAAGAGCAGCTCTCACAGGTGACACTCCTTCCACTGGGTGGAGCGAACACCGGCTACTACTTGACATTTTTCTAAGATAAAAACAAAAGAAGTTTAAATAAATCTGGGATTCAGAAATAGTACAATGATTTACATTAAAAGTATTATAATTTAAACTATATGTATGTTCTGATACATTGACAGGGATTCAGATGTAATTCTAATCACTTCTAAGAAGTGGAGAAAAAGCCTCATTAGAACATGTCACACGAAAAAAAACAAAAAAAAAATAGGTGGTGAGGATGCAAGCTTCTCTTTTTTGTTTTTGCTTTTCTTGATCTTTTTCCTGATCAGGATATTCTGGGCTATATTTTTGGATAAATGTGTTTAAAGTTTCTCGTCAGGCTGCATGATCAGGAATCTTGTAATCTATCGGGGATTGAACAGAAATCACTAAAAATCACAAATCCGACGTGTCTTCCGTCCTAGGAGCTATTGGTGTCTTTATCCAAATCTAAAGTAACGTCTACGCAACAAATGTTTACAATGCTACGTGTTTGTAAAAATACTTTTCATATGCCATCACTGACCAGTCGTGACGTATCTTCTGCTCTGGTCCTCTCATTTCTTTTACACGTATTTATTTTCTCTATTCTTGTTTATGGTTTTTCATTTGCTCCAAACGACCCATCTTTAAACTGTGACTTGACTTGACTTTTACCGACGGTATGAATGAGCGATGAAAAACTAGTACACTTCAAAACTGAACATGACACACAAACATGAACATGAAGAAAAAGATGCATACAGGAAACTGCAACAATATAAGTGTAAAGAAAGCATATTGAGATTTAAGAAAAAAACTGTTCAGTGGAAATATTGTGCAAATCAAATAAAGTTATGTTGCAACCCCTTTAATGAGTTTTTCTTCCTCAATGTTCTTTCATGTTTGGGTGTTGATGGTGATATTTAATGTGAAAGAAGACAACAAACAGTACTGTTTAAAAGTCTTGAGCCAACATCATTTGTTTAGATTTATAACTATTTATTGAAATGTGGAAACATTAATGTAAATGTAAACAGTTGGTATAATTCTTACAAGCCTGATATTCAGTATTTGGTATGACCAGTTTTATTAAACACAGTCTGAACTCTCGTAGGCAAACTTTCTTTTAATGTCTCTAAGGAAATTTTTTTTTTTATTTTATTTTTTTTTTTTTAGTTCTCCAGACTTACTGATGGACATTAAAAGCTATTGTTCTATTACCTGTAAAGCTGATCGCACAATGACAGGCCAGTCATGACTGTTCGTGTTCAAAGTGTTTTGACTCTTTTCCTCTCTGCTATGCTCGTATGCCTTTACTGCATTGGTGGTGTGTTTGGCATTATTCTCATGCTGAGAAATAAAGCTGTTGCCATTCAGACACTTTCCAGATGGAGACTGCACGGTGGATAAATCATATTTTCGGCATTTAGAATTTCACTAGTTTTTCCTCCTCAACCATGTTTTATAAATGGCTGTAGGCACTTACTGTTGTGCTCTC